GTTACAATAGGAAAAGTTGAAACCTTAACACAGAGTAAAATAAGATAAAACTTTCTTTGTGGAAATACTTTCCACTTTTCCTTCTTTTATGCCAGTGGAGATTGGGGCATAAACAAATAATTTCTTCTTTACTCGGACATATTTTCCATGTATACATGGTATCTGCTGCATTTAATGAAGCTGACAATTCATTTAGTATTAATTTGAGAAGCCATTTACTTTTGAAGGAGCCGAGTAACAAAGGTATAAGACCAATATGTCCCTTGGTAAAGACAGAGATAAAATGGAAATGGACTCTTCATTTTTCTAGAAACCTTTTGAATAAGGAGTCTCAAGTGCAGAAAACTAATATTTTTCTAAAACAATTGGTTGAGAATACAAATAATTAAGTGACATTGATTTGACTTCTTTGAAAGCTGTAGGTTGAGTAAAAATTCCAAAAATTTAAGTAATAGGATCAAGCACTGAAAGAGCCAGTGTCTACAAAAGTTATACATTTTAAAATAAGAGAACTTCCCTTCTACAATAAATCTTTAGAGCTCATGATCAATTTTATTATTATGAACATTATTATTAGCATGGCCTGGATAACACTGCCTGCAAAGCCCTTTTTTTTCCCTCAGTAGTAGTATTGTTAAATCTAAAATACTAAAACGATTCATGGTTTTCCATAATATAAATACCTACTCCCTTTGGATGGCACAAAGCCAGCTAGAAAAAGGACTTCCATGAAGCTCTTTTGGGTCTACAAACATGCCAGCAAGCGTGAGCCTATTTAAGCAGGTTTTGCCAGAATATTATTAATTCTGACTTGGCCAGTTGAATTTCTCCTAACTTGAAAGAACAGCTAGTTGAAAATAGCAACATTAAAGCCTCTTTTTTAAAGAAAAAGTTACACTATTTTAAAAGGAAAACAGATTTTGTTAGCCAATGAACACAGTTTCATAAACCAGTATTTTAAAAAAATAATTAAAATAAAATAAAATGCAGGGAAGAACCATGTGTGAAACACACTGACCAGTTTGGCATAACCTCGGTGATCTAGGATGAGATTTTCTGGCTTGAGGTCCCGGTAAATGATTCCTTTGGAATGCAGATAGGCAAAAGCTTCCACCACACATGCTGTATAAAATCTGGTTGTCGAATCTTCAAATGAACCTCTGAGATACAGAAAATGGAGCAAAAGGTATGAAAGAAATTAGTTTCTCTGGTAAGGTTTTATTTCTCATTTCCTTATATTTCTATGCTAAAATGTGACCCCAGAGACCAGTGTCCTACTGGCCAAAATTGCATTGGATTTTCAAAAGCATTAGAGGGTTAAGTCAAGGAATTCTTTGCCCTTATAAACAGGATACGTAGATCTAGCTTCCTGAATACAGTGAAGAAGAGTTCAACCACCTACCACGTTTCATGTACTTGGTGGATTCTCCCAACAGCCCACTACAATCTAAAAAGGCACATAGATGGGCAGAACAGAAGCAAACCCTATTTTAGACCTTGTCTACCACGAGGTGCTTTTTAAAGAAGAGTTTATGAGTTGAGACATATTTAGAATGATTCAAAATCGATCTAAGAATAAGTAATACATAGTTCATTAGAATGGGAATAAAAGTTAGTTTTCAAAGAACCACTTTGGAAATGAGTTAAATGCTACTGCTACAATCATACTGCAATCTAAGTATTCTTCTGTCTGAAACATCTGTCAGCAAAACAAACAATATTTTCTACACTACTGCCTTCTTGTTAGCCGGAAAAGATGGAGCTAAAAGATAATTAGAAGGAAAGAGGTGACTGGAAGGAAATATTTATTAGTAAACTGGATTATGATTTGTACCTCTGTCTCTCTAACTCTCTGTATGTGGGTGAGTGTGTTTATTTAATGAAATCACAAAGAAAAAAAACCCTCAGCATCTAAGGTAGGTTCTAGGGTAGAACCTCTGTACTTTACCTGTTTTTTTTCCATGGAATCCCTTAAAAAGATAAACTACATTTTTTTCCTCTTCTTTTCCAGGTAACAAATCAATTTAAATTATTTAATAGTTTTAATAATAATTTTTAAAAGTGTTATTTAATAATTTTATGGTAATTCAGTAACATTAGTGATATTCATGATAATCCAAGAACATCAGTTCTTGAGGTGGCTAAAATGTAACGAGAGAGAGAAAAACACTCA